CTTTTTGTCAAAATCTGCTTGGCTATGTTCTTTCATGTTTCTTTCTTTTTTTTATTTGAGAGGTGCTCCAGAGTGGAAGAATGCTAATACAGAATGGAGAGTGTTCCCTGGATTAGGAAAATAGCTAATGCATAAGAGCTGAACTGTAGTATTAGCGCAGTTAAAGCTTCTCAGCATTAAGTTACAGAAAGTCTCTTGTGCCAGAAGAGCCCTCATGTGACTACAGTCTTCTCCGTTTTGCCCTCTTCAGGTGGATAAGATAGTGGACCAGCTGCAGCAGTTTGTTCAGAGCTACGATTTGTCTGCCCTGCGGGATTACTGGAGTTATCTGGACCGGCGCCTTTTCAGCCGTTTGGAAGATGTGTACCGGCCGACAGTGAACAAGCTGAAAACCAGCTTATTCCGATACTACCTCATCCATACTGTTCAGGTAGCATTTGATTTTTAGGCTTCTGTTTTAGAAAGATCCAGCTCAGTCCTGCGCAGCCTCTGTTGGTAACTTGGATACCAGGAGACATCACAAGGTTTGTAAACCCCTCCTCGTGGGGCGTTGTGATGAGACTGGACTAGGACAAGAACAGTGCTTAAAGCAATCTTCATAAGTTGAAGAAACGGGCAGAAAAAAAAGCCCTGAGCGCCTGTACACTAGTAGGAGTAGTCAGCTGTTCTGGTGCAGAGTAAGGAATGATTGAGCAGGCAGCAGCAGTGCAAGGAAGGGTCTTGCCGCAGCACTGGGGATCAACAGGCAGGATTGCCTGTGTTCCACTCTAACCTGCTGGCAGGACTCAGCCAGTCCTTCCAGGCACCACAGTTCTTAAAGCATCTTAAAGAGTTGGAGGGTCCAGAAGACAAAAAAAAGTGACTTGAAGTTGGTGCAGTTGAGTTTTAGTTTGTAAGAGAAGGGAGAAGTGGGCTTCAAATCTGTACAAGGTAATGTGGGAGAGAAAATGAGTGAATGTTTTTTGTTAGCTTTGAATAGAACAGAAAATAACGGGCTTAAAGTGGAGCAGAGATCATCTTGTTGAAACCCGAGGAAAGTCAATGGAATATATTACACAGGGTGGGCTTTGGCCAACAGAATAGACAAATAGCTGTCAGGAATTCCTGTTTCGTTTCTTGTAATTTAGAAGGAATGTTTCCTCCTTGATTCCGTTATCTGACTGAAAATCTTAAATGGTCGGTATTGGTGGGGGAGTCAAAATCTAATGCACACTTCTGGAACTGTGGTTTTTTTTTTTTTCATGTTTTGTTTTGCCCTGTGCTTACCCTGAGGCATGACTGTCCTGTCTGAATAATGTATCAGATGGAAACCTTTACAGGCTACATTTGCTGTAGACTTGGGTAATTTGAAGTATACTTTGGTTATGCATACGAGTCCTCCCGGCTTATGTTAGTGCACAAACTGCACTGGTTTAGCTGGAAATCAACGTAAGTGACTAGTTCATTTTGCCTCAGCCTTTAAACAAGACTGTGGTGACTAGAGAGAAGGTCAGATTAGCGCATTTGTGAGCTTCAGCTAGTGTATTTGAGATTCTTTTGTCCCTAGATGAATCTGTTAACTTTAACCACTTGCTCTGTTGCGTGGGGAAAGTAGTTGTTGGTGTGTTCATAACACAGAGCAAATATTCTTAGAACCCATGTGGTGGCATGAATGGAAGCGTGAGCCCTGTTCTTCTTGCTGTGTTTCAGACTGGCCGCAATGACAAGGCGCAGGAGTTTTTCCTCAAGCAGGCCTCCGAGCTCCAGAACCAGGTGGAGTGGAAGGATTGGTTTGTCCTGCCCTTCCTTCCTGCCCCAGACTCCAACCCCACCTTCGCCACCTACTTCTCGCGCCAGTGGGCAGATACGTTTATCGTGTCTCTGCACAACTTTCTGAGTGTCTTATTTCAGTGCATGCATATCCTTTTTTGCAACTAATAGTTAAATCTTCCTTGCCCTGGTGTTATGCTTACTATTAAAAATGGTGCCAAGAATACAGTATTGCTGAACTTGCTGCTTTCAAGTGATTGTTTAGAGCCAAGACTTAATAGGAAGCTGGTGTTTACCAGAGGATGTTATTATAGTTATTGTTCAATTAGCTGATGATACGTTATATTCCCTGGGCACAAACAATTGTGGTTGCTGCTAATGCTGAACTCATCCCTATGCTAGTGACCAGAAGTCTTGTGCACATCTTGTTCAGAAATGCTTTTATTCTTTGCTTGGCATAGTACTAAACAGGCTTGCAACCGTGGGTCATAGTCTATAACTGCACTAGCATCTCCTGTTAGACCCTTCTCTGGATTCATACGTTCACAACGTTGTCTAGTGACAGCTCACTCTACTAGGGCAGTTCAGTGTTGGCAGAAATAACAGCTTTTGTCCCACACTACCGAATTCTGACCTTGCTTGTTTGCTGGTGGGCCGGTTTACATTGCAGCTGGAATACAGCTCATCTTCAACTGTTTCTTCAGTGTTAACTAATGCAGTAACATAACCTGTCTCATCCTCTGCCTGTGACATGTAGAAAGGAAGGATCTAAAAATCCTTGCAAAGCCTATGTGAAATAGTGTGTGCAACAGTAAAGTACAAAGTTGGCTTAGGTAACTAAGCTGTTACTAGTCTTCTGGCCTTGCACACAATTCTTGCTAGTAGTATGGACTGGGCAGCTTTGCTGTCTTGCAGGCAAACGGCTGGTATGAAGTGCTGGCTTTTAGAATTAAGCCAGGTGCATGCAAGTTCTTGCCTTGGTTTTCTTTAACATTCCTCACCAGTTCCAGTCATTCTGAACTTTGAAGCTGAATGTCTCAGGAGCAGTCTCATACAAGAAGAAAATGAATCGTTGCGGCATAAGGTCAGAACTGAAGTCACTCTTTAGTTGCTGACTGTATGAGGCTGTGAGTTTCGTAAAATTGGTTCCAACTGTTCAAGAAAGCTGTAACTGTTCAGTTCAGTGCAGTTAGTCCAAGGCACATTCTTCTGAAAGTCCTGTGTTATTTTGATTTGTCTTTCAGCTGTCTCCAGCAAACTTAGGGTTGTGATCATATTGTGAAATGCCTGTTTAGGCTATTATTGTCTCTCTGCTGGAGGTCCCTCTCCCTGTGCTGACAGGTAGCTGTCTACTGTGCAAACTCCTTTCCTGCTACACTACAAAGGCAAGACAAGCTGAAACTAGTGGCAGGTTAAGTGCATATATAGCTGACTTTGCATGGAAACTTGTGAGTAGTACTCAGTCACTTCCAGATTTTAGCTGATGGAGCAATAGAAATGGGCAATAACTTCTGGCAAAGAGGCAGAAACCGCTACTTTTGAAATGGCCACTTCACCATGGTTGAAGTGCACTTAAAGCAATTTAGATCAACTAATGGAAATGTTGTGAATGTCTGTTTCTAGCTCCAGACCTTACAGCCATAAGAAGGGCTGACCGGTTCAGACAAAATGTCACTCGGCTCCATGCCGTTTTTTTGAAAGTATCATCAGCAGATGCTTAGAGATTGGGTGTAAGAATATGTAACATGGATTAGTCCTTTCCCAGTATAATCTCCTATTAGAGAGATTCAGGAAATCTACAGTTTAAGAACATTCTAAACTACAGATTGCATGTGGATGATCACGTACAAGTGGGAAGCCCTATTCATGTAAGCAGGACTTCAGTTTCACTTCCTCAAATGTACCAAGTAAAAGCTCTCTCCGTATGAATACTTCAGTAAAGTTTTGTGCTTTACCTCCTGTGTTACAAAACATTGTGTTGTGCTTCCTGTTTCAACTGTTTTGGTAGCTGTTCAACACTATTCATTTGTCCTAAAAATATTGAAGTAAAATAGAATAATTGATTTTAAAAAGGAGGCTTTTCTTTTGCAAAAGAAAAGCGAGGTTTTCCACTGCGTACAATATGGAGCCAGTGGATTAGTCAGACTTTGACAAGAGGGTTCTGCAAAGATGTTCAGTGAATAGGGACAGCAGGATAAGGTATGTTTTGAAGTAGAGCTCTCTTATTTCCTCCAATGCTGTATTCTGGACTTCTAGTCAAATTAAAGCTGTTTTTTGTTTGTGGTATGTTGATATCACTTACAGACTGCATAAGAGCTCTCTGGCAAATAGGCAAAGATAAAAGCTAAACTTTCCTTCTTGGAGAACTGCTCAGGTCAGAAAAGGAAGGAGCTATCTATAGAATACAGGCTTAAATAAAAAATAGTGTGAATAAATATTGAATTCAATGCTAGCTGAAATGTAGTGATTCTGATTTCACTGCTGAAACAATGCAAATACATGAATAGCAAGATGGATTTCTGTAATTTCTTTCCTTAAATACTATGATAAAAAGAAAAATAATTATGTCTGGAAAAAAAAATTATGGAAACAGAAAAGCTTGAGGAACTCTTCACGTGAACAAGAGTCACAGGCATAAACCACATCTGTCATAAAAAGCTGCATCCTGAGGTTCCTCTCTGCTAAGGGGGGAAAAAGAAAAATGTCTCTTTCTCCATAATGTGGAGACAAATCTCACTGTCATGCTTGGGAGGGAGCTGGGCAGGGTGTGGAGCTAGATTTCAGGGTGACCTGATGGCGTTGGCCTCAATGCGCCCTGCCAGCTCACCAAACCCTTGGCTGTGGGAAGAAGATTACCTTCTAGGCTCAGTGCCCATACATCAGTACTGCCAGTCATGTGAATTACCCTGGACTTGGAACTGCCTGCATGGAGTGGCTGATCAGCTCTGCCCTGTCTGGCTCTCATTTCCCAGCACTATTAATGTCCCTACACCAACAGCCCGAGGATAGGAGTGAAGGTTTTTAAGTAGGCTCCAGTTTCAGTGTATAAAGTACTAATTGTTTTGACTACTAGGACTAATGTGGTCAGCCAGCCAGAGTGGCTTTCTTCCCTCCCCACCCTTCTAGGGCTGTTAAAAGGAGTAAACAACTTCAGCAAGTGGGAAGGAGGTGAATCCCAGTGATCCTCTGTTTATTTGGCTCTCTCCTCTTGTTCTAGCTGTTTGCTTTGCAGGCTGAATCCTCCCGTATGAAGAAAGAGGAACTGGAGATGGAACAAGCAGTTGTGCATCACAAGTTGCCTGCGTATGTGGCCAACATGGATCGACTAGGGGACTCTGAGCTGTGAGTGCCTGCAGGCCAGGAACTGGGAACAGGCTCTGCTGCTTTTATTGGGTCAGCGAGGCTCCTGGAGGGTCATTTCCTTGTTCCCTGCCCTGGGAATCAGTGCAAAAAGACATCCAGGCAGAAATTCTGGTGACCTAAGTGGGTTTAATGGAGGAATTAATGATGAGCATCCCTTCCACCATTTGGGAGAGAGATTCTTGTTAACTGGTGAGAGCCCAGGCACACATGGCAGTAATTCTGCTCTACTTTCAGCATCACATCAAGGTGTTCTGGGCAGCCAGGACACTAGTAGCAGTCAGTACCCTGCAGTATTGCTCAAATGAAGTGGATTGTCTCTTGACTCCTAGTTTCTTTAGTGCCTGTGGAGCAGTAGGTGAGTGCCCTGCGCTGTTTTGTAGACACTGTTACTGTATGACCTAACAGGGTCATTGTTACACAGAGATGCTTTCTTGCTTTTGCAAAGTCAAGGGAAAAGGAGTTTCTTTTCTGTGAGGCTCAGTTATGCCCAGGATTCCCCATAAATTTGCTGCAGTTAGTGTGTTTTATGGCTACATCTATTGTATATCCATCTGTGGAAATTAGGTAACATACACAGTGATACACCTTGATTATCTGTTACTTAAACTCTTATTTTTCCCCAGTACAGTTGTGCAAAGCAAGTCTGTGTGTTTGGATTCATTGTGTTACTGAGATATTTTTTTTTTCCTTGCTTTAAAAGGATCTGAAAGCAAATGTAGCTTGGCCGCAAGGTACTAATAGCACTGCTGGGGCTTCAACTTTCTCATGCGCTTCTTTCACTCCTATTCAGACAGGAGCGGGGTTGATCAAATTCTGCTGACAATGACAAATACAAGCTGTAGCAGAAACCACATGCAAAGTCTTTGTTTTAGTCTAAAAGCTGTCTGATTAAATAGACTTGAGTGTCTGGTGGACTGTCTTGATAACTGGCCTGTACTCTGCACAGGATAAGCTACAGAGTTTAATTTGAGAGGTTTTTTTTTTTGGTTTAACTACTCTATAGTTAGTTGGTTTAACTACTCTATATAGTTTCTATATAGAAAGCACTGATGTTCATCTGCACACATTGGGGAGAGGGTTGCGAGAGATTGGATAACTTATTCCCATATGCATTTTCGTCCATTTGTATTACAAAAACTTGCCATAGAAGTGGCATTTCTTGTGTGTGCCACTTGTCTCAGTCTGGGGGCCAGTTCTGGTTGCTTTTTTCATGTCTCTGCTCAACCCAAAGCCCAACTTTGGTAGAACAGTTCCTTCCTAGAAGAGAGGATAGACACTGTGAAGGTGATTGTATTTTCCTTCCTCTGGGTGCTGCTCTGCTCTCAAAGGAAGCTGTAGCAGAATGAGGTCAGACAGTTATGTTCTGGGAAGCAGCTGCTGCTCTTTGTGGTGTGGACTGAGAAGGGAGGTGTATGTAATCACAGAAATGGACCTAAACTTCCTTATTTTCTTTGGGTCCAGTTTTTGAGATACTGAGGGCCTGTGCTTTAAAATTGCTGAACGTGACTTGCTGAATATCTAAGGGTGTTCAGTGAAACACTGGATATGCAACGCTGCTTGAACTAGGTCTGTTTTATGCCTTGAATTGGGAACCGTGGCTGAACAGGTTCTTTTTAAGTCTGTATTTCCCTGCCTTTCCCTTAGGTCTTTGTAAACTAACCAGATGTAGTGGAAGGAGTTTGAGGTGGCCCTATGGGGGATTCAGGAACAGCTGGGCCCGCTGTCTCAGTGGCATCTCTGAGAAGTGAGCTTTCGTTACAGTAATTATAATGATCTGCTCCAGGCACTAACAGGATGTTTTAAAACAGTTTTCTAATGCATAGTGGTCCATCAGCATGGAAAGGAACATCTGTCCTCCAGTGGCTGACAGCTGACACTTTGCTTGTTGGGTGGTCTTTGATCAGGTTGTCTGGCTACACTTTCATATTCTGCTTGGTGTTTGTTTTTGTTTTGTTTGTTTGGTTTTAATTAGTGATATGACCTGCAGCCAGAGGAGTACTGCACATTCTCTTCAGTCCCGGGGAGGCTTTCTGTCCTCTTTTCTCTCCCAAAGTAAAAAGGGCCCTTCCAGACCAGCTCATCCAAGTGGGGCTTCTCCAACGCAGACTGGCAGTATGCTACTGGGAAAGAAAGAACCAGCGAATCACCAGGTAATTCTCAACTGTGTTTGTTGACAGGTGCTCAGTGTCCAAGGAGTTAACTTGCAGCACAGCACTACTCCAAGCTTTTGCTTCCACCTGAAAAAATAAAATGTCCTTTCCTTCCTTGCAAATGTGTGCTGGGCCTGAGTGCAGCACAAGAACAGCTGCTATTGTTTGGGGGCTTGTGGAGCCCTTGCAGGTGCTTGGGGTTTTTTGCCTCCCCTTTTGCTCTTGGTTCTGCAGCCTAGCACAAGTGTAACTTTGCCAAATCATTCCTCTGCCTTCCAGAGTGCCAAAGGAAAAGAAGGAACAGGGAGCTGTAAGGACGGGAAGAGCCACTTCAGTGGGTTAGTAGCAGGCGAGTCAAGTTCCCTGCAGCAGCGGCAGAGGCGCTTGCAAGAGCACGGGAAGGAAAGGAAGGAACTGCTGTCAAAAGGGACCTTCCAGGTACCAGGCAACACTGCAAGGCTGGGAAGAAGAGGGCTGATGTTTCTGTAGTTTGTGCTAGGTGGTAAAACAGGTGCAAGTGTTGCTGTTAAGCTTCTGAATTGCTACTCAGATCTAACTGTATCAAAGGTTAATCTCTGTAGTTAATCAGCTCTTTCCACGCTCTGTTTGTTTCTGTGTCCCTGGAAGGGAATCAGTATTGACATTACAAACAGAAGAAGAATTGTCTTTCGTCATGATCTTTTCAACAGCCTGGTCCTGAGGTGGGGTATGTTTCATCCACCTTAATGGGTTATATGCAAATACCTTGTTATAATCCCTGTTCATTAGTGGCAATGGGCGTGGCTCACCCATCCTGCCCAAGTGAGTTCTCTTTTGTGTGTTCTTAATGCTGGTTTATGCAGCTTTTTAATGCCCTTTTCTAGTGCCCTGCTTTCTAATCTAATGAAATAATAATTGTCCTGGATTTTGACCACTTGAAGGTCAGCAGACTACTTCTGTTCACCTGTGTATTGTCTGGCTTTCAGCAGCCATGTGGTCAAAGGATACAGGGCACAGGAGGAATGATGGTATCATCTCAGCCATGTTTATTTTGGCTGTATGAGACACCCTTCCTTGGGGGAGAGACAGTGCTGAGGGACTTGCCTATCGGCATGTGTGTGTGGCTGTTCTGTGTGTGGGAGCACTGCTTTAGAGAGGAGATGTTATTCCACCATCGAGCGTTCAAGGCTATGAGAGAACTCTTTTTCTTCATGGCTCATCTAAAACATTTTAATTAAACATTGGTCAGAAAAATTGCAAATTCCAGTTTCCCAATAAGTATTCTTTGACTTTTTCCTTTTTCTGTGATGTTCCAGGTTAAGGCAGTGTTTTCCTCGTTCTGTAAAAGTTTCTTATGGTTCTCTAGGGGAAGCTGTTTACTTTCTGTTGTTCTCAAAAAGTGTGAGCAAAAAGGAAACTGAAAGGCGGCACTGTTTCTTTCACATGAGTGTCATTCATTGGTTGTTAATCTCATATGAGCTAACACAGAGAGAGGCATTCTTGGATTTATTTCCCAATCTTTTCCAGCTTTGTGATTTCAGATTATTTGATTATGCAGTGTTTGACCCATTGCTCAAGATGTGAAAGCTACTATAAATAAGGCAAGGATGCGTTAGAGAACAGGTATTCAAAACCATCAATACCAATACCATTTTGGGGCATTTCGTCTTCAGAGGATGGTTTAGCAAAGGAATGCTTGCAGATATTTTACTGATTTATGTGCTGTATCTGCTTCTTTTTCAGCTTCTGGTGGAAAGGGAAGACTAAGCTGCTTTCAAACACTTCTATGTGTTGCAGCGCAGATCTCGTCTCATTCATAGAATCATAGAATGTTTTGGGTTGGAAGGGACCCCTCGAGGTCATCTAGTCCAACCCCCCCCGCAGGAGCAGGGACACCGCTAGCTAGATCAGGCTGCTCAGAGCCCCATCCAACCTGGCCTTGAATGTTTCCAGGGATGGGGCCTCCACTACCTCTCTGGGCAACCTGTTCCAGTGTTTCACCACCCTCATTGCAAAGAATTTCTTCCTTATATCTAGTCTAAGATACCTTCACTTCCTAAAACTCCATTTGTTCTGTCTGACCTGCCAAATTGTGTTTTAAGCTTTTGGACTCATGTTGGCTCTACTGTTGTCATCAGTCAGTTGGCTGCAGTGGTTGACCCAGTGTGCACAGGCTAAATCTCTGGCAGATAGGATCATCCATCCACTGGGGCTCACCATCCAACAAGAAGTTTTGTGCAGGTTTACTGAACTGCATATTATACAGACTTAACTTATATTGCTGGATGCAAGAATTCCTTGAAATATTTTGATTTGCTTGTAAATCTGCACTCTAATGGCATCAAAATGGGCCTCTAATATCAGCTAAAGTAATCAAACAGAGATGATGTGGTTCCTTTAATTCTTACAGGAAAGTGTATGGCTGGGCACACGGAGGGGAATATAAGGGACTCTATGAGCAAGGAGGCCACATTAAATAGTGCAACTGTGCAATGTACTAGCATTGTGCTCAGAAAGGTCCCTGGCAGAGGGGTGTCGAGCTGACAATGCTGCTTTTTGAGGACAGCTTCTTGGTATTTTTTTCTCTCAGCAGGCTGGGGTGCTGAAGAGCTTGATCTGGAGCTGCTCCTTCCTTGTATTTCACACAATGTTTCTTCTTTCAGGGCCAAAGTGCTGAGAAAAAACCAGATATTAGCACAGCTGAGACAGAGCCATGCTCAGAGCTGCATACTGAGCAAGCAGAGACTTCAACCAGAATGCCTACCAGCAGTGCAGAGGCTGTGGGGGTCCGGCAGGAGCAGCCTTTCATTGTCCTGAGCCAGGAGGAGTATGGGGAGCACCATTCATCCATCATGTACTGCAGGTAACAGACTTACAGAAGAGGGCTTTCTTGTAGAAGCCTCTGCAGAGGACCAGCTGTATCTGGCCTCTTTCTCCTAACCTCTGTTCTGTCCAGCACATTTTGCATGTATTCTTGGTTGTAGAGCAGTCAAGTTGGTGTGACTGAAAATAGCCTGTAGATTGTGCAGTAAGAAGGGACAGAGATTTTTGTGATTGGGAGATACCAGCCAGGAGGAAACTCCCAGGGAAAGCAGGATGGTATTGCTTAAGGGCATTATGCTTTCTATGTGGAGCTTGGTGTGCTTCATTGTGCCAGTTATTGTGAACTGAACAGGAAGTGGTGCAAGGAAGTTCTGATTCCTGCAGAAGGAATTGGTGTGTGGCCAGGAGAGAAAGGATTACTTGGGGTATCTACTCACATCTAAGAACTTTAGGGAGAAAAATATTGAATTGGTTTCCTTTTGCACATAGGGTTGATTGTTCTGGACGGAGGGTGGCCAGCTTGGATGTGGACGGGGTCATCAAAGTCTGGTCTTTTAATCCCATAATGCAAACTAAAGCATCATCCATTTCCAAATCTCCGTTGCTGTCTCTGGAATGGGCAACCAAGCGTGATCGGCTGGTGAGTAGTCTGTGTGTGGAGGCTCGAGAGTCATAGCAGATGGTTTGGGGCTGTGTTGGTATGTGTTGCACATTAACTTCTGGACAGCAGCATTGTGGGTAAGATCAGGGCAACAGTTAGTTTCCACTTCAGTGGGACATGAGGAACTGAAGCCTGTAGGGTCTAAGAAAAACTAGAGTGGAGAGTGTGCTCTGTGTATTGCATGAGGACTTCACCACGGGTTGCCTTGAGACAGAAGTTCCCAAGCTGCAGTGTGGGTACAGCTGCAGGACAGAATTAGCTCCTTGAAGAGGAGTGCTTCTCTGCAGGCAGAGCAGGCAGCCACTTGCAAGGGCAGGCACAACCCATGGGAACCCTGCAGCAGGGAGCTGTGGAGCTTTACTCACACCCTGAGCCAGAAGCAGAGAAGGGAGAGCAGGGCTGAGGAGCAGGGGTGTGGTGGTGGTATTCTACTTGTGCAGGTGTGAAAAGGGCTCCAGCACCAGTTTTATATTGGTGCCTTATGAGCTGGGGGTTGGTGTGTGCATAAGGAGCTCGGGGCTTGTTTAAATGTCATGACTGTTTAAATGTTTCCTGTAGCACTTTTTCTCTAGTTCTCTTACTAGAGAGGAGCCTTAAATTATATGCATTCTTCTGAGTCCTAGAACTGTTGCTAGTGTTTCATGCCCTCGCTTGGCAAAGAGACAGGGCCTTGTGAGAAGGCAGGCCTGCAACTGAGGGAATATTGTTCATGTTCTGGCACTGATGATGTGTTGCTGCTAACCCCAAAATGCCACCTGTGAAGAGCTGTTGCTACAGCTTGTCTCTTTCTTTTGTTTTGCTCTTAGAAAGGAAGTTGTCCATGCAGTTGTTCTGATGTTTCTTCTGCATTGTGGAGTTTATTTCCTGCTTGCTGATAGATTCTTCTTTCTGAAATATATGGGGATTCAGCAGCAAATGAGGCTCTGAAGTGAGAAGGATCTGGCTTGCTTAATTTTCTTTGATAATGCATCCCTCTGTGGTTTTACTTCTGATTTAAATTGTAGCACCACTGATAAAGCATGTGTGAGCCCTTCTGACTGATTTCATTCTCTACTGGATGAAAGGAGGCAGCTTCTACTTGTTTTTCTCTTAAGCTTAGATTGTTAATTCTGTGTTACTCTTTCCTTGTTCCCCTAGATATTGAGACTCCACATATGTTTTGCATCCTATAATGTTGAGCCATACTCTAGAAAGTGGCTTTTACTCCACCTTGGTGCCTATCAGATCTTTTTCTCACTGGAGAGCAGTGCTTTTATTCTGACTTCTGTCACTCTGGGGTAGTCCTACTCAGCGCGCTATGCACAGAAAGAAAAGATGTACCCTAATGGAGTGACGTTTAATCTGAATGCATAAGTAGAAAAAAACCTTTGTGCTGTTGGTGGTTGTTGGACAGCATCATTGTACTCACTCACACTGCTTCCCTCTCCTTGCTGGTTTCAAGCTATTGCTTGGCAGTGGGGTCGGGACGGTTCGTCTTTATGACACAGAAGCAAAGAAGAATCTCTGTGAAATCAGCATTGATGAAGACATGCCCAGGTAACTCTGGAATACTGATTTTTATATACAAATATAAATGTTGTTGGTTTTGACTGTGAAAAGGTAGGTGAAATCTCAGTGTTCCTGCTGCTTTTATGCAACTCCAGGACTATCTAGAACCATAGAATGTTTTGGGCTGGAAGGGACCCCTAGAGGTCATCTAGTCCAACCCCCCTGCAGCGAGCAGGGACACTGCTAACTAGATCAGGTTGCTCAAGAGTCCCATCCAACCTGTCCTTGAATGTTTCCAGGGATGAGGCCTCCACTACCTCTCTGGGCAACCTAGCCTTCATCCAGAGGGCAGTCGCTGTCTGAGCAGCATAAAACTGCTCAGTTAAATGGGAGACACTCAAAATCTGTCCAAGCACAGGAATCCCGCTCTCCTTTACAGTGCACCCTGTCTTGCAGGGCCTTAATGGAGAGCTCATAGTTGAGTATTGTGCTTTAGGCAGCTGCTGGAGAGAGGCAATTCAGGCTGTTTGCTGTGTTTCAGGATCCTCTCGCTTGCCTGCAGCCCAAGTGGTGCCTCCTTTGTCTGTTCCGCGGCAGCCCAGAGTCCCATCTCCCACATGGACTTCTCAGCAGTCAGTTCTGGGGGCAAAAGCATGAACCAAGTTCCTGGGAAGCTGCTGCTGTGGGACACTAAAACGATGAAGCAGCAGGTACTTGCTGGGCTTATTTTCTTTCTCAGTCTGCTTGTTGAGATTGAGTGTCTTCTGTTTCAATGTGTAGGAGCCCTCTTTCTAAATTTTGCTGACTTTTTTTAAAATACCCTTCTTTTTCACCCTTTCTCCTTCCCCTCTATCACATGCAGGATGAAAATGAAATGCAGGGTTTGGGTAGGGGTTTTTTTGGTTTGTTTTATGAGGGATTCTTCAGAATAGTCCATAGCCTTGTTTCTATCCTGCCTGCACAGTTTGTGACTGGATATGTCCCAAATGGATTGAATGATGCTTTGCTCAGGCTCTCTCCAGTTGAGCTATATTGAAGTATTTTCTTTCCCATTTCCCCTGCCCTCCCTGTTTTTAAGTGAAGTGCTTCTTTCAGAGATTTTGTCTTGTGTCCTCTTGTCCATTGTTTTGGTTTAGATGGGTCGGATTCTGGCAGGGAATCCTCAGCCCATCCCTTGCCTTTGCCCTTATGAAATGCTGTCCCTGATGTGTAGGAGAAAGCAACGTACTCAAGCTAATGCATGCCAGCAGCTGGTTTTGCAGCCTTGAGGCCATGGCCAAGAAAGCTGTGGCTTGGCTGAGCTGAATTGTTGGTTTAGTGTCACAGTAAAATGTAGCTGCCAACCTTGAAGTCTGTAGTCATGAGAGGTGTAGGGCTCCAAACTGGAGGAGTTCTTGCTGCTAGATACTGTCTTTCCTCCCTCTTCTGGAGATGAGCTCCTCAGCACCCCCAGCTCCATTTCTAGGCATTAATGCAGACTTTCCCTTCCAGCTGCAGTTCTCCCTGGAGCCTGAGCCCATTGCTATTAACTGCACAGCCTTCAACCACAATGGCAACCTGCTGGTCACTGGTGCCGCAGATGGGATTGTTCGTCTCTTTGGTATGTTGAAATTGGGCAGAGGTGGCCCCTCGGTGGCCCCAGCTGGTTGCCCCTAGCACCCTTCTGCCAGCAGGGAGGTGGCTGTGGGACACGCCTGAACACCAAGGTGGAAGCTACTTTCTCTCCTCACAATAGTTTTCAGGAGTGAATTGGCATAAACTTTCTCTCAGACTTAACTTGCCCTTGAGCTGTGCGGTCTTGGCTGTGCTGTATAGCAGTACTGCTGCCAGAGGCCGAGTCTTGAGGAAAGGAATTAATGTGTGACCTTCCAGTTGAAGGCTTCACATCAGTCCTTCTTCCCTGAGCAATATCTGTTTCTCAGGTTTTGTCCTCTTCAGCCTGTCCTGATAAAGGCAGCTTGGGCCTTCCTCTTCTGTGACTGAGGGATCTGCTTCTGGCCCAGGTGCTGAGCTGGAGGCTGCAATCCCAGGTCTGTGGGAGGACAGAGCTGGCAGCACCTGTGAGGGTGGACAGTATAGCAAGGGGAGAAGAAGAAAGGTGGCAGTGGGGCTTGGATGCAGAATGCATGCACTTGACGGTGAGCATGTGAGAAGCCCTTTACAGCTGGAGGAAGATGTGACTAGATACAGGCAATGATTTTTGTGGCTAATGTAAAAGCCATGTGCTGGAGAATAAGCACAGGATGCTGGGATTGGATTGGGCTCCCCCAGGCTGGTTTAGAGGGCTGGGACAGAGACCTTATGAACATAAAGGGCCTCTCTCTCTTCACCTTAACTCTGTGAGAGTATGAGGAGTGTTCAGTACTGGTTCTCCCCTCAGATATGCAACAGCATGAGTGCGCCATGAGCTGGAAGGCACACGATGGGGAAGTCTACTCCGTTGAGTTCAGCTATGATGAGAACACAGTCTACAGCATAGGCGAGGATGGCAAGGTAGGATCTGGGTGATCTTCTACTGGTTAGCTGGCAGTCAGATCCCTTCTGGAGTCTTTTCCATATGGTGGGGATAGCAGTAAAAATAGCCTCAGAATCTGGAGAATCTGTGGGCTGCTAACTAATCTTCGGTATGCAGCACCACCCTGCTGCACGCAGTCTCTGCAGAGACAGTGGCTGGAAAGCATATTAACAGCTGGAGGTATCTCGGACCTAGTTTGCAAATCCTCCTGTTGGTGACCTCCCCTTCCTAGGGAATCCATGTGAAGATGACCTTTCTGTGCCCTTGAGATCACCGCATTTGAAATCTGGGATTCAGCAGGGAGCAGATCCTTGGCTGCTTCGCATAAATTTCCTTATCAGCAGCTCCCTGTTGTGTATTACAACGGCTTCAATTTCTGCAGTTCCACAGTCTTCAGCAGTAGAGGTGTGGCTCAGGGAGGGAGAATGCCTGAAGGTGTGGGTCCTTGGCTGATGAGAATTAGGTGAATTCCCACCAGGATCCTGCATGCAATGTGGAAGGACACATAAGCAGCAGTGCTCATGGAAGGTAGGGTATATGTTTGCCTGGATAGCAGGCACTCCTACATCCTTTGCAGCCTGTGTTTATCAATAACAGCCACTTAGATATAGATTTCAAAATACCATCTTCTGTTTGTGAGGAGTAGCCACTTTGCTTAAAAATTATGAATGGCCCCTCCATCACAGTCAATTTAACTATGGGCTTTTGTCATCTCTTTCTGTCATTCTAGTTTATTCAGTGGAATATTCACAAAAGTGGCTTGAAGGTGTCCGAGTACGATCTTCCCAGTGAAGCTACAGGTCCTTTTGTTCTGTCTGGGTATAGTGGCTACAAGCAAGTCCAATTCCCACGAGGAAGGCTTTTTGCTTTTGACTCTGAGGGCAACTATATGTTGACGTGTTCTTCTACTGGGGGAGTAATTTTTAAGGTAAGTCTGAGAAGTGATGGGGAGCATTCTAATGCATCTAGACAAGCTCTTGTCATTACAAGGCTGCAACAGCAGCCACTGGAAGTTCTCAGGCAGCACCTACCCATCCCTGCTCTGTGAAAGCTGCAGCTCAGTTTCATATGGTATGCATTTTAGCAGTGTGGTGTTCAGCAAGTGTTTGAACCCTCTGTGAGTGTTTGGCCCTCTGTATGTAGCTAGATTATGTGAGCTCCTTGTTCTTAAAGCTTAGCTGCAGCAGTTTTCTTTAGTGCCCAAGTGCCTAGGACAAAATTTTAATTTAATATATTGATGCATGCCAGTTCAGTGCAAAGTGTGTGATCACTGACCTATGTTCATCTTCAATCTGCCTTGTGTGCTTGATGCTATGTTAGTCCGAGCCTGATTTTCTCCTCTTACTGTGTACTGAAATGAAATGAAGGGTAAGGTTGAATGGTTCTAAGTACCTAAATTTCTGTGCCACAGTAACAAGTGGTTACTGATTGCGTACCCCTTGCCTGTCTCCTCTTGAGTCAACACCCACCAGTATAAGCCACTGCAAGGCAGATCAGATGGAATTTTTACTTTGCATCTGGGGCATTCAGAGCACCTGCACTAACATGAGCTATAGCTTAGGCTTTTGTGTTTCTCATCAGTGTGTGCTCTTAGCCTGCCTTGTTCAATTGCTGCAGCTCAGCTGATGTCAGAAGCTGAGCTGCTTGAGAACATGTGCTTCTGTCATGAGACTGGAAATTTGCTTCCTCATGTGTGCTACAATACACCTCAACATCTTTCTGATTTTCTGCTTAATTATGTATGCTGACAGGGATATGGATTCACTAGCAGGCGTTGGCTTCTCCTGTGGGTGCACTGCCCCCACTGTAGCAGCTTGCCTTCTTAAAATCTTATGCTTTCCTTCTTTTAGTTAAATGGTGAGGAAAAGGTTCTGGAGAGCTGCCTTTCCCTGGGAGGACACCGAGCTCCCGTTGTCACAGTGGATTGGAGCACGGCCATGGACTGCGGGACCTGCCTCACTGCCTCTATGGATGGGAAGATTAAATTAACAACTTTTTTTGTAAACTGGCAAGTGCTGAAAAGGAAAGAGCAACAGACTTGACAAAACCAGTGTTAACTCCAGAGGAACAAACTGCATGGGAGAGAAGGCAAACCACAGTCCTTCTTCTCATTGTAGCTTTTGCCTCTTGACAAACATTAAATATATTTGCCAAACCACTGTGCAATAGAATGCCAGTATGGGACCGGATCAGTGGCAGCACTGAAAAACAAGTCTCCACTGACCCAATGTGGCAGCTGGACTCCCTCTGTTAGGGATCTTGAGCAGCACATGGCTAGGCGGCTGCTGGGATCATGTCAAGGGTTCTGCAAAAGAAGGTGAGGCTGGAGGAGGCATGCGTGAGGCAGCACAGTGCATGGTGATAAGGTGGCTCAAACTGGAAAGGCCAGTGCAAAACCAGAGTACTCTTTCAGCATAGCATTTGTTGATGTGCTTGTTTGTTTTTTGTTTCTGTTTTTTTTCTCCCATAAAAAGAAAATATTCCCTTGCACTTGTTTTCTGTGCTCTCTTCAGCTGTTGCTTCAAAACAGGGAGGGTGGCTGGGGCAGTCTTCTGTGTGGAGAAAAGACCTTTGTGCTTTCACCAGGTGCTTCCAGCAGTGACACCTGCACACTACAGGGAACTAGTGCAAGACATCCAGGAATAAAACCAGTTGCACTCATTTGGATGTACTGTGTTCCTGAGTGGTATCTGCTACCAACTGGAGAAGAGATCCCGAGTCAGACTTTTTGAAATGCTTGTGCTGGAGTTCAGAAGCTGCATAATGCATAGCAGCTACCTGAGCTCTCTCTCCCCCTGCACCCCTCCCCAACATGAGGGCAAGTGCTGTGCTCAGGTATTATGTAGTCTTTGAACAGACTGCTGAGCAGCCAGATTTCATCTGCTTACACATCACTGCAGAGCTTACTGCTGCTTATGTCCTTGGCCTTTATTGGGAGTTTACAGTACTGTTCCTTGGCAGAGCTCTCATTCTCAATTATGTGAAGAATGGGTCCAATGTACTGTTTGAAGATACCTTTGATACCTTGCAAAGGCCACCTTGGTTTTAGAGCCTGGACATCTGTTAACATTTACCAATGTGAAGGGTGACTGCCTGGAGAGGAGGTAGAACATGATTTTAGTCTGGTTTTGCCAAGTGTGCTTTGGTGTATTTGTGAAGAGTGGCTTGTCAAAGTTGTAATGCCTAGCTAGCTATCTCCTTGGGTTTGAAGAGATGGGGAAACAGGCAAGGTGGACCTCTGTAGCTGGAAGCTTCCACTGCTGCCCAGCCAGACCTGGAGCGTGATGGTGGTTCTCCACTTCCAGCTTGCAAACCTGGGGGCTGGAAATCAAGATTTGCTTGGCTCACGCTATGGCCATTCTTCACTGGTGGCATCCCACCTCAGAACATGACTTGGTGTCTGAGAAGGTTGTTGCCATCTTTGTGCCTGGAGATGTTGGATACAGTCCACAGTTGTTTTGTCTGTTGCATGTAGCCCAAGGAAGATGACAGTTACAGCTAAGATGAGGTCAGACTTGGGCAAAAGGCTCATTAAAGTGGGCAGGAGGTCCAGCTGAATCAAATGGGGCCTGCAGCATGAAATTTCCAGATCCCTGGAGATGTTTGTGCCTTAAGAGCACAGCATCATTGAGGCTGGAAGGGGCCTAATCTCGTCCAACTCCTCTGTCCCCACCCTGCTCAAAGCAGGCTCAGTGTCATGCTTTAACCTGGCTGGCAACTAAGCACTGCACAGCCGCTTGCTCACTCCCCCCCTCCCTCAGTGGGATGGGGGAGAGAATCAGAAAGCAAAAAAAAGTAAGACCTGTGGGTTGAGACAGAGACCGTTTATTAAGAGAAAAGAACAACAGTAATAATAATAATAATGGTAAGAGAATATACAAAACAAGTGATGCACAATGCAATTGCTCGCCACCTGTCCTGAGCAGCGATCGCTCCTTGAGCAGTCATCACTCCCCCCCCGACCGACCAATTGCTCGCTACCCGTCCTGAGCAGCGATCGTTCCCTGAGCAGCCATCACTCCCCCCCCGACCGACCGACTAACCCCCCCTGAGCATGACGTTATACGATATGGAATAGCCCTTTGGCCAGTTTGGGTTAGCTGTCCTGGCTGTGCTCCCTCCCAGCTTGTTATGCACCTGGCCGAGCAGGAGAAGCTCAAAAAGTCCTTGAGTAGCCCAAGCACTACTTAACTCACTGATGATGTCAGTTGTTGCTATCAACATTCTTGTAGTACTAAATCCAAAGCGCAGCACTGTGCTAGCTACTAGGAAGAAAATTAACTCTATCCCAGCCGAAACCAGGACACTCAGCCAGGGCAGGTCATGCAGGGTCATGTCCAGTTTGGAGCATCTCCAAGCATGGAGCCTCCACAACCTCTCTGTGGCACAAATAAGGCACCACCAGGTTGAGCTGGGGCCTCTGGCCCCAGCCCAGGTCCCTGAGGCCTCCGGCCCAGGAGGCCCACTGAGGTATAGGCAGAGGCTTCCAGGCCCTCCCTGAGCTCGGTCATGGTGTCTCTGTCTCCATCTCTGTCTAGGCTGCGCCTGGCAGCACACCTGGCTGCTCCAGACCCCAGCCTGCAGGCTGCTTTCCTGGCCTGCCCTTGGCCTCCCCGTGGCCCTGCCTGGCCATCCCTGGGCTGTGTCTGAGCCTGCTTGCCACCGCTGGGCCTGAACCTCAGCCCTGGCCTGGCCCCCTGGCTTGCCCTCAGAGCTGCGCCTCACCAGGTGCTTGTTTGTCCCTCTGGGCTCTCAGCTGCCCACCCTGGGACCGCCCCGTGCCCCTCGCTTGCCTAGGCCGAGGACAGCAGGGCAGGGCCCAGCCATTTTGGCTGCCCATCCCTGAGGGAGCAGCATGCCTCTTGCCACCCTCTCAAGAGAAAAGGTTTTTCCTTAGGTTGAGGTGGGATTCCCCCTATTCCAGCTTGTGCCCACTTCTTCACACCTTTCCCCTCGGCAGGCTACAGATCCATCGGTTCCCTGTGGGATCTGCAAAGCTTCCACGGCTACCAGAAGCTCACCCACCACCCTCTGCCCAGACCACCAGGAGAATTGCTCTACAAAGGCAGGAAGAGTCTGCTAACTGAGCACTAGCGGTAGGTCAGCGCGAGTCCCTGATCTGAGCACAACCACGGTTCAGACCTCCCCCGAGGAAGAGGGCACAGGCGCATGCTCCCTCTTGGAGACGTCTGCAGGACTGATGGTCATTCAGCGTAAGGGCAGAGAGAGACGCGTGAACTGCCTGCATAGGAAGAGAGCCTGAGTGAGCCTTCGAAAATAGAACCTTCCTCATCTGAACCTGCTAGGTCTGAAGCGCTCCAGTTGTGCAGCAAAACTAAGGCATGTACTCGGCGACACGGTTTATTAAATAAAAAGCTGCAACAGAATGCTTGGAAGGAGATGCAGGGTAGTGGCTGCACAAGGTGATGGCAAAGGTTTCCAGGGCTCTGTTTTCTGGCACTTCCTCTGCTCCAGCATCTTCTTGCTAACCGCATTGAAGGCTCAACTGTGACTGGGGAAGGGTGGGAAAAGGCAGTGTGTCAAGTCTTCCAGCAGGCTGGGCCAAAGGTAGCACTGGAAAGCAGATGCTGGAAGTACAGTACTTAACGCGCAGCTCCAGATACTGAAAAACAAACCCTCCAACGTGTCAGCAACAAAGCTACAGCCCGTGGGCTAGAGACGCATGTGGAAAATATGGACCAAACCAAAACCAACTCAGAGCTCTAAAGTTACTCACTTCTGTGGAATTGGGGACCACTGAAACTGCATTTGTCACTTGCTGACAGAGTTTTAAAATGTATTAAAATCTCAGTGTTTGGTGACCAGCTCCGCTCTTCTCGCTCAGGGCCCCTGGGACTGTGTCCTGGCTGGCGAGGCCATTGACCTCAGCAGCCCTGCTGGGACTCCTGGCTCACGGTTTTTACCCACCATGAGAACTACATCTGTGTTCATCAACGTCATCATCTTCTATTGCTACAATAGCAGCATGAGCCTCAAGACAAGTCACTCAATTGCAAAATACAGCCAACATAATGAGCAACAACAGGTTCCAGCAGAAAAAAAATAAGCACCCAAATCCAGCAAACAGACCAGAATTTACCTTTTGTCTTAGTTTAACAACTTAGTTGGCCACCTCAGAGCAGCCGTTCTTCATCTCCCCCTGGATACCGAGCTGGGACTCTCTGCCTGCATATGCCATCAGCTTTGTCCGACATCCCTCCAGAAGCATCTTCAACCTGCACAGCAAATCAGGAAGGAAAGCGTGAAGCAAAGCAATGGTTGGCCTTTTCCACATACTCTTAGGTCAGCAGCACAGCCGTGGCTTGCTTCCTCGGTAACGTGTGTTTGACAGGCCAGGAATTGCTGAGAAGCGCCAGCCGTCCAGTGCCACGCCTCACTTGGAGGGCCCAAAGTTTACCTGAACAGAAAAGACTTCCTTCCCTCCCAGGAGAACTGCAGGCAGTGCGCATTTGCAAGGCCTTTTGCGGCTTTTTAACACCATAGGCTCATGCACAGAAGCACCTTGCAAAATCGAATGCCAGGCTTGAATTTGCTCCCAAACAGTTCTGTACATGCTTTTACATTAGAGCTCAGTAAAGCCTGCCTTCGACTCAACGTGCTATTTCTTTAAAGCGCTAAAAAGCCGTGCCTGGTACGTTCTGCCTCCAGTGCAATGTTTCTTCCCCGCATTTCGTCCAGAAGTGCTTCTGATTGGCATTTCAGCTTGGCATGCTTCTTCGGTTCCTTGCTTTCACTCCCACGCTTTCAAAACAGAGAAGAGAGATCACACACAGAGCATGGGAACAGGATCCATATGCAGAATGTGCAGACGGTGTTCCCCACAAAGAAGATGATGATGCGCATCTCCAAAGTCCAGTCTCCTCTCGCAGCTCTCAACCACTCCTGTCCACAGCACACAGCCCACGAAGGCGAGTGCCCGCATACTGTCCGCCAAGCACATTCAAAGTGCAGTAGCACCAGGGGAATGAGGAAACGTATAGACTTTTCCCACGAAGGTGCCCTGCCCCAGAACCTGGGGGGTTCCCCACAGCCCACCTGATCTTTTCATAATTACCTGCCCACAAGAAATTCAAAGGCTAAAACCAGTCACTCCCGGAAGCCGTTCATATACCTGGCAATGTTGGTGTTCCTTTGCAGTCTGTGTTGCCTGAAAGCTAGCTCTCAAGTCCTCCAGGCCATTATGAGCCTACAGCAGCATTAAAAGAAGAAAAAAGAAGTCAGCTAAAACTTGCCCGACTGAAGGTCACACCTCACAGCCTTTCCTCTTCTCTTGCCAGCATCAGTACAACACAGCGTTTGCCTGCCCTGCAACGCCACCCAAGCACACAAAATACTGCCTCTGGAGGCGTCATTCCCTTATTAGTTGCAGATTTTTATCTTTGGAGGTCTTCTCATTGCATTATGGTCCCACACCTTCTGGCCAAGGAACCCACAGTCACTTAAATGGGAAGGTGACCAGAGTACTCAAGACAGAAAGCTGGGGAATGGGCCATCAGGACTTTCAGAGCGGCCTACAGTCAGTAGAAGAGAGGAGCTGCTCTCTCCTCGGCTCTCCAGGAAAACCTCATCCTAAAATTTCCCCACAGGAATATGGAACTAGGCTCGGTAGCTCCTGAAAAGGGAAGGCTCTGACTAGCTTACTGAGGCAGCGGCTTGCAGGGCTTTCTGAAGGGCTTCAATGGTCTTGGCTTGTTGCTGGACTGTGGCTTCCAGCCTGGCCTTTCCAGCTTGGAGCCTGAAAAAGAAGTACAGGCCTTGTCACAGAAGTCCACAAGACCACAACTCCCAAAAGAAGAGAGTGAAAGAACCTCATCTGAAGCAAAAGCACCTCTCAAAATTGTGTATTGTTATCTCGCCAGGATGCAAGAAGACAGTGCTGTTGTTTTCACACAATCGCAGAAAGCAAAGCCTTGCTCCATTGTGTTACTTCCTTACCATTGTATGCGTTCTTCCAGCTCTGGGATAGCCACAGTTCCAGAAGACATGAGCAGAAGGGCCTGCAGGTTCCTGGAAGCTGTGAGTTCCCTCTCCTTATTCTTGATGGCATTCTTCAGGGACCTGGCATAACACTCGGTCTGGATATGCTGTTCTTTCAATTTCTGCAGCTGTCAAAGCACAACAAGAAACTCCAGTGGTCAGCTTAGGCTTGATAAAAAGGACTGGGCTGCTTTGACTCTCATGTCGCCTCTTAAACCCCGTGTTACTTCTTCATCTTTTATACTGGCCCTTGTCCTGTGTCTCCATTGACTTCCTACAGCGTCTCCTAAACGCTGCCACAACACTCCTCCTCCTCTCTCAGGGACTCCGGACACTTTTTGTAGCCGCTTGTTGGCTACTCCAGCATGGTTAGAAGCTCCTCCTGCTCCCACAGTGACTTTGCAGCTCCCTAACAATGATGGCGTGAGGAGGGAATACAAAAAAGCACCAGCGCAACGCTCCAGGATGCCTACTCTTTCTCTGTCAGCACACACTCTGCTTTGCCCAACCCAAGAGAGGCAGAATACACATGGTCAGTGAGACTTGACAAGTAGCTCTTTGAAAGGAGGACACACACCCTTCTCCAATTAAGGACAAAGTGACTTCAAAGTGCTGTTGGCGCCCGGCCCCCTCATCACAGCTAGCCGCACGCTGAACCACCCTGGGTTACACAAAACCCCCAAGTTCAGTTCCCCGCTCTGGTTTGCTAGAGAAAAAACCTGGGCCCCTGCACGAGACAAGAGACAGGCTTTCTCCATACCTTAGCTTTAGACCTGTCCACTTCCTTCTGCAACTGCAGTTTCTGTTCCTGCAGGTCCCTGCAGTAGCGCTTCTTAGCTTCAAGTGAAGCTTCTGCCAGGGAGTTCTTTCTGAGAGCATCAGCAAGCTCCTGCTGCAGCTGCCTGACCCATCTCTAAAGAAATGGCCACAAAAATGATCAGAGGGCTGGAGCACCTCTCCTGTGAAGAAAGGCTGAGAGAGTTGGGGTTGTTCAGCCTGGGCAAGAGCAGGGAGAGACCTTATTGCGGCCTTTCAATTCAGAAAGATGGAGAGACCCTTTTTAGCAAGGCCTATAGTGACAGGATAAAGGGAAACAGTTTTAAAGTAAAAGAGGGGTAGATTTAGACTGGACATAAGGAAGAAATTTTTTGCAATGAGGGGGGTGGGACACTGCATCAGGCTACCCAGACATACTGTGGAGGCACCATCCCTGGTAGTGTTCAAAGTCAGGCTGCACGGGGCTTTGAGCAACCTGATCTCATGGAAGATGTCCCTTGTCCATGGCAGGAGTTGGACTAAATTATCTTTAAAGGACCCTTTCAACCCAAACCATTCTATGCTTCTATGACTTAGTGAATTCAAAGATAAGGGATTTTGTCTGCCACCCGCAGGCAGCTGCAGGCATCTCTCTCAGCTAGGCACATCGAAACTCTCAGCAGCTCTTCATGAGGCTTTCTCTTTCCTAATGCCCAGAGAATGCGCAAGTATTCTTCTCCTTGGAACACAGGCTTAAGAGTCTGCGCACATGGGTTTTTTTCCAACCCACTCTTTTCCTTCTTGATGCAGACCTTCTGCTTCACAACAGGAATAACATGAGGTCCAAAATACACCTCAGGTGCAGATTCAATAACCTCCTCTAAGCAGCACTCCAAAATAAACTCAGTAGCAAGAACAGCTCTCCATACACTGACAGGCTCTATTAGTGGATATCTGCATCTAATCGAGTCACCTGTTTGTCGCCTAGACAATCTGCTGGAGTTGAAGCATGCTGCTTTAGCTGAAGCTCTTTTCTACCCAGTGCAGAAACCTGGCCGAGTGAGAACAGAGACAGACAGTGGGGAAAGGAATTCCCAGCAACAGTGCAGCATCACACTGCATTTCAGCACAGGGGCTACAGAAGTGTGACTTGCACATTACCTCTACAAGAGAAAGTAACTCATTCACAGAAGTAGAGTCATCATCTTCCTCTGGCTTTGGTCCTGCCACTTCCAAGGCACCTACAAAGGAGGCAAGAAGCGCAATGCTGCCCTGAGTGCTTTTTTCCCCTCTGTTTCTCCCCATCCCCTTCTCTCCAGAGAAGCTTGCAAAGGCAACCATTTGCTCCATCATCAAATTACATCACTTTACCATTGCTTTGCTCCTCTGATATGGACTGCAGGTACAGACTCTGTTTATCTGCAGCTGGAAGCAGCACGCTCTCCAACAGTTCTCCTGATCCTTCAGAATGCATCTGTGTAATTTGAAAGACAGGTCTGAGAACTGGCACAGACTCCCCCTCAACCCATTTTCACGTACCAAGCTCCTGCTTCAGCCAGCACACGTAAGGTGGTATCAGGTGACGGAGAGAAGGAAAAGGGGAAACACAGCCAGCATGCTGGGCATCTCTGTTGAGCATGGCTTCTGCATTACCTCTGGAAGACAAAGGACCTCATTCTCAGAAGAAGAGTCATCTTGTTTGGCTTGCTTTGCTGCTGCCACTGGCAAGGCACCTACAAAGGAGGCAAGAAGCGCAATGCTGCCCTGAGTGCTTTTTTCCTCTCTGCTTTTCCCTATCCATCATGCCCTTTATCAAAAGAACATTTATTGCTCTCCTATAGGCCACAGTGATTTGTCCTCTTCACCTCCTCCACGGTGAAGGATCCTACCTGCTCCAGTCACTGCAGGTGTTCCCAAGGCAATATCAGCAGTTGTCCTCACTTCAGACTCCATCTGCGTAATTTAAGAGACAGGCATCAGAACTGGCACAGACTCCTCCTCAACCCGTTTCATGTACCAAGCTCCTGCGCAAAGTGGTATCGGGTGATGGAGAGAAGGAAAAGGGAAAACACAGCCAGCATGCTGGGCATCTCTGTTGAACATGGCTTCTGCATTACCTCTGGAAGACAAAGCACCTCATTCTCAGAAGAAGAGTCATCTTGTTTGGCTTGCTTTGCTGCTGCCACTGGCAAGGCACCTACAAAGGAGGCAAGAAGCGCAATGCTGCCCTGAGTGCTTTTTTCCTCTCTGCTTTTCCCTATCCATCATGCCCTTTATCAAAAGAACATTTATTGCTCTCCTATAGGCCACAGTGATTTGTCCTCTTCACCTCCTCCACGGTGAAGGATCCTACCTGCTCCAGTCACTGCAGGTGTTCCCAAGGCAATATCAGCAGTTGTCCTCACATAAGAGCTGTCGAGTACTGCTGGGTCTTCTGTGCCTCCTGCAGAACATTCTCCCATGAGTTCAGAGCCCGTGTATTCCTCCAGTTGTTTAGGAATACTGTATGGAGAAAGGAAAGAAATGCATTTGGTAAAAATCGCCCCCCGCTTGCCCACACTCTCTCCTGGAAGAGCAAGAGCCATTCACGAGCCATCTTTCCCATATTCACAGCCAGCTGGGAAAGGGTAACACATCCCCCACCCCTCACCGGGCTCCTGGAGTCGTGGAGACCACAACTCTCACTACGGGCATCCTCACGCGACAAGTGCCTGTTCTTGTCTTTGGAGTAGCTCATCCCTGCTGGATACAGTCTCATCCGATAAAGCCCCTCTCCATTTCGAGTGCCAGCAAGATGAACAAGCACCCCAGTAGAAGACTGAAATCTAGCTACAAGGCTTCTACCTCAGTGGGCCACCGTATTAATGCCGTAGCGACTCTTTGCGTCAGTGCGGGGCAACATCTCCTCAAAACCCAGCCCTGACTTTGAGGGGCTTCAGAAATTCCCATGGTTAGTCTGAGGCGTTGAGAGCCCTCCTAAGTAGGATGTCAAGAGGCCAACAAAAATTGCAGGCCCGTTTGCTCCCGTGTTAGACCACTGAGGGGTGCGTCCTTCTGTGCGTCCGGCGACGTTTTGGCCTAAGAATACTGCGCCGGTGGCCGCGGGCGGGGCT